CTATTTAATAACAAAAGATATTGTGGTTACATCAGGGAACACGCATCATGCGATAATGCTTTAATCCTCCCAAAAACAGCGACTGAGACAGACACCGGAAAGTACCCTACCATCAAATACACCTGTAACTTGCATTTTTGATCGTACTGGGTACTTCTTTGGGCACGGAGTGTGGTCCCACCGGAACCAGAGTCTTCTTAGAAACCCTCGTAAGGGACAACACCAGCAGACAACGCGGCGGGCGGCCGCCGGGCCGGCAGGACACCCATATTCAGAGTTCCTCAGGACCGGGAGGTGGGCTTTCCAGCAGGCCTAGCGGAAGTCCCAGCGGACCTCGGAGCGGACCCTGGCCTCCGTCACGACGACTGCGTCCGTCTGAGTGACGCGTCACGACACCGCTTCCGCGACTCGTCCCGACTCCGAGCACCACCGAACGACACGGGGCCGACACGGGGGTGACACGGGGCGACACGGGCCGACACCAGAGCGACATGGCCGCCTCCGAGGGCGACAGTGTCGGCGCACTATCGCGTCACGGCGCGCCCGGCGGCGGTCACGTAACGCACACCGGTCCCCAGAGACGTGATAAGGTGATTGTGTCAGTCGGGTGTCACCCCTAGGGCCACCGGGGAGTCAAGAAAAGAGGCGGTGGTGTCGGGTGACGAAACGCACGGCGCGCACTGCAGGTGCGGTGCGGTGGCACACATGTCCGGCGAGGCCTTCTAAGGTGGCGGTGTCCGACGTCCCGTGCCGTGCCATGTCGCGCCTTCGGTTGTTCCGTCGGCGCAGACGGGTGCTCAGCCTATCGGGTTGGTATCAGGCGGGGAACATCGGCCGTAGACTACCAAAGGAGCTGCGGCGTGCGGGTGTGGTGTCTGAGTCTGGGTGGGCAGTGGGAGGGAGAGGGAGGGAGAGGGAGAGGGGGAGCTAGAGGGAGGGAGAGAGAGAGAGAGAGAGAGAGAGAGAGAGGGAGAGGGAGAGGGAGAGGGAGAGGGAGAGGGAGAGGGAGAGAGAGAGAGGGGACGGGCTAGTGACAATGGTGATTATTTGCATTGATAGGCAGCAACAGCCAAACCATATCGCTCCCTTTTATGGTTTCACAAGTGTTTCACCTATTCAATGCGGGCATGCCTAAAATCCGGAGGCCGCAATGAATGAAAAAAAGCGAGAAGGATCGAGCATAAAAGAATCGTTACCGAGAAAACTGAAGTTAAAACAGGAAAACTAGTTTTCGAAGAAGCTTAAGCTTCAACGCACAGTGCAGACCCAGAAACTTCAAGTGCTCAGCTTCCAAGTCCCCTCAGAACACCCCCCCCTCCCCCAGCTACACCCCCTTCCCCCCAGAACGTGCCGGACCGAAAGATGGTCATAACTCATATTTCATACACCACGGTCCGCAGCCGTAGCAAATAAATAAATAATCCATGGGTACATTTAGTTGGTGTTTGCTGAGTGATACTGATATGTCGGCCTTCTCTCGTGAACTCATACGTAAGGCGGACGGCCGAGTTACGAACCTGGCTTCATTCGTAGGAGCTTGTTCCCTAGGGTGTGTTATATCTAATATTTTTGTCTCAGATCAAGCGCTTCCGCGGATATTCCTCGTCCCTGGGTTCATTGAAGCCCATTGGCACCGTTCTTTTTTCGCTGCACCGAAAATTCAGGCGGCGCGGGCCCAATCAATTTCGACATTTCCCATGGCGCCCGGCGTTGAAGTCTCCATACTGAACACAATGCGTACCGTAGCGATAACACCAGCCATATGACTCGCCGTCGGCCTGTTGCGGCCAACACCGTTTGACGGTTAAAATTCGATTGCTATTTCTTGTTTAAATGGACGTCGGACGAAACATACTGCTATCTTAATGTGTTGGGGCCATTCAGGGACCCTAAGATGATCCATATAATAGGATCACGCTGCAGCCTTGGCAAGACTATCACGAGTGGGGCAGAGAGAATGAGAGCACGGATGGACAGAGGGCAACGTGAGCGGGGTCTCGGGTATCTTTCTCCGTCGGCAACACAATGTGTCGGCTTTTGAGTCATGTGCTGTCTCCCCGAGGCACACGAGCTTGTGAAGAACGTGGGTCAGTCTGGTTTCAGCTGCGGCGTGAGCAGAAATGCGTGTGGCGCAATCGAATCGGACTATCCGTGCCGCAGTGATGCCGTTGCGAAGCAAAGCGAAACATTTTGTTATCGGGTCTCCCAGTGTGTTGCCGGTAGGTAAATCAGCTGCCTACAACTATGTGAGACTCTTGGGCCTTGGCAGGGGATAGAAAAAGTGAGCGGACAGTCACTGCATGTTTACGTGAAGCAGCGGAAGCTGTGGTTGCAATGTGGTCGAGTGAGGGCATACCAACGATACAAATGCACAATGTGGTTCGGAAGGTAAAGCAAATCTACGAAAGATTTCGCCGATCGAATAAGGTGCCCAAAAGAATGCAGGAGGGACAAGCGAAACAAAGTCTTTCTGAAGCGAGTCTGTTTCGTAAGCTTTTTGACATCGCCCGCTGCCGCTGTAAAGATCGGCGAAGCTGTACCTCTCCACTTTCAAACCGGGTACCGCCAGCGGAAATAGCATTCCTTCGAGACCAGAGAGGAGTTCGGAAGATGAGACTGGGTGGTGTGGACTACGAGGAGACAAGGAAACGGCGTAAGACTGCGAGCCTTAGAATGAGACGGGAGCGGAACGAGAGGAGGGGCGACGTGGGTCAAGCTGGTCCTTCCCACCTCCGTACCTATTCCAACGGCGTCAATATCGACGAGACAGGCCAGGTAGACTCGTCGGCAACGACCGACACCAACGACAGCAATGAAGACGTCACAAGTGATGCACTGAAGATGATTTGAGATGAAGAAATGCATCAAAGACTCAAACGATGATGATATGACAAACACTGCACTGGCAGCTGACTGACAGGTATGGTTTATCCAACCGTGCTGTGACGGCCGTCATCAACGGTTTTCAGATGGATATCGGTCGCGTAGCGAGCGGCAAAGCAGAATTGCTGGTCGACCCGAAAAAGTATAGAGAGAAAGATGCCGGATGAGACCAAGTACAGTGGCCGCGCGGGACCAACAACACAGCGACGCTGAGCTCAAGGCCATGTACTTTGATGGAAGGCATGATCAAACTAGCACGGGCCGAGGCGGCGACACGGCAGCTGAGGAACATGTGGCTAAGGTAGCAGAACCAGGAAACGAATATCTCTCCAACTTTACGCCAATTTCGGGTAAAGCCATTGATCAAGCCAATGAGCTGATAAACGCTGCCACTCTGGCTAATAGGCTGCGATGGCGCGGCTGTCAATACGGGCAGATCTGGAGGAATATGCCGACTTTTGGAGCTTATTCAAGAGAAAACGGTCCATTGGTTTGCTTGCCAGCTGCACTCGAATGAGCTTGTACTCAGGGAAGTGTTCCAGAACTTGGACGGCAAAACCAGTGGACCCGGATCATTCACGGGGCCGTTGGGTAAGGCAGCTGGCTGCTCCGTGCACCCTCTTTCTCCCGTGAAGTTCCGACCGGTGACTGGTGAGAGGCCCAGAGCTGGATCTGCCGGACATCATCGCCGACCACAGCAGCGACCAACTCCTGCTGTATCAGCTCACCAGAGCCGCGCGGACGGGCAACATCTCCTCAAAGGAGGCCTGGAAGAAAATCGGTCCCCTGAACCATACAAGGTAGGCAAATGCTAATTCAGTTGAATTCAGTTTGCTATTGAATGGCAAAGATGCATCTTTTCTGTGTAACCGTTGTCTAAAAAGAGGATACTGCCTCGTTTGCATTGCTTACATCCGTATTAACAGCGTCTGTCAAGTGTCAACGCTAACAGGCGAAGACGCGCGCGGCTGGTGTTAGTGTCATCAAACGCATTACGCCAAACATGGAGACTGCAACGCCGGGCGCCACGATAAATCCCGAACTTCTTTTAGCCGGCGCCGATCGAATTTTCGATGCATGGAAAAAAGAACTGCACCAATGGGCTTCCATAGACACAGGGACAAGGAAAATCAGCGGAAGCAATTGATCTGTTTCTAGTGACACACCCTATAATGTTCCCCTGAGATTGGCACCGTGTTGGCAGGGGAGCGCAGTGACCGTCTGGCTGTTTGACTGAAACCGCCGACGCCTATCGGTACTCGCCATCGTCGGCACGGAAAGCACCGTGAAAGTTCTACGTGGAAACGTGTAGGCCAGGGTCAGTTTACGCTCGATGCCATCTTTGCATGTGTCGATAATGGCGGCACTGCAGTCGGAGGCGGCGCCAGGAGCGGGTTGACAGAGTACTCGGCCGGTACGCCGTATCGCCCTGGACGCGGCCCGGGCGGCTGGCCGGCCGCTGCTCCAGCGCCCGGTCCTAAGCTGCTGGTTTCGCCCACAGACACGAGACGGATCTCCATTTAGATGAAGAAGCACCACCTGGGGCTGGCGCCGTGGGTGGATGCGGTGGATATAAGCCGATATCCACCATGGGTATAACCAGACTTGAGCTGCAGATAGAAACGGCTCTTTCCCAACAAATTCATTACTGCGCTTTTCCAGCGTCCAATTTTAGCTCAGATGAAGCCAAGTCAAAGAAAATCGCTGTAGTGATTGATATCGTCCATTTCCTTCGCGGACAATTTGGCAACTTTCCCAATTTAGAAGTAAAAGCGGCTTTAAGTCGGCGATGGATTGACAAGATAATAGATATATTGGCAGAAATCTCCGCCGAAGTGTGGCGTCATAGGATGCATTGACGTCATACGTCTCACAAGCAAGATAAATTGGCAACAATGCCATCCTACGCGTGAGATCATACACTCACAGTCCAAGAGGCATGACGTAAGCCTGATAGTTGAGAGCACCAGTTGTTAATAAATGTATGCTGCGGGAGCGACAGAGTTCAATCGATACCAGTGCCAAAACCAGCCACCGGAATACCCCACCCAAACACAAACTCGTAGCGTGCTGCCTATCACGTCATAGCGTCTGAACCAACACATAAACACGCCCGATTACCTCACACAGTATGTATATTTATACGAACAAGTCATTCGACGGCACACGGCGGCAGTAGCTCCCTCTATGACACCTGACGCGCCGGCCGGTACGCCGCGCTGCCACCACCGCCGCCGCCGCCGCCGCTGCCATCATCGTCCCACTACGCAGGCCGTACACACGCACTAGAAGAACTGACGTCCGCCGCCCTGGCTGTAGGGGGCCGGCTTCCTGGGCATCGTGTCCGGCAGCTCGTCCGGCGTGTTGGGGAACTCGAGTGGCGGCTCCGGCGCCGGACGCGGCCTGCCGCAAACAGCACGTGAATGGTCAACTTTCCAGACTAATCATTCCGGTCACACACACAAAGCAACAAAGGCCACCGGCGACGCGCCGCAAAGTGACTGTAAACCTGCGAACGGCCAGACGGATGTCGGCCGTCGCCATTGTCACACTGCAATGTGCCATGATGGGCCACGCGAGCGGTGTGCAGTCACACACTGGCGGATGTCGCCGCCGTCATTAGCGCGACATGGGCGCTCGGCGGTCGGCACAACAGCGGCGCCGCGGGGACAGTGGCGGGTCTGCGGTCGTCACCAATCGGGCCCTGTCACGCCGCCGCTCATTCCCACACGGCGCCGCCGCCGGAGTAAATTTGGCACGCCGTCAATGTCGTCTGTCGCCGCCGGTTGAGGGCCGGCGAGCTTTAGAAGCTCGCCGCCAGGTCACCGACTGGACATCAGCTCTCGCCTCCGGCACGGCTCATCGGTTTTAGCGAGCTGAGTCGAGGCCGAATGTGGCGAGACTGAGCTCAGTGCTTCTCTCGGCAATTTTGGCCAGACTCCTCATTTGGCAATTCTTATTTCAACTAGCTTGGGGCCATCCCTGACTTGAATCTACGTTCAGTCGTATCTTGCTCTCACATTTACCCTGCCCCTTGCCATCCCTCAATCTCTCAATCTCTCTGTATCTCAGTTCCCGTCCCCTCGCGCCCACTCTGCCCCGCTCCGCAGGCTCCCATCTAGGGTACGCCGTCCGGCTACTGGCACCGTGCACCCGAGCGACCCGAGCGGGCCGGCGGGGCAGACGGCGCGGCGGCGGCCTCCCCGTCCCCTCCCCGGCCGCTCCAGTATCAGACCGGCCCGCTCGGCACCGCTGGGCCGCCCCGCCGCTGCAGAGCACAGGGCAGCCCGGGTGAGGCCCTCCGCCTCCACTGCACCGGGCGGCGGGCGGCGCAGGTTAGGAATGGAGAGCAGCGGTGGTGACTGACGGCTGAGAATTTAGCGGCACGGTATCGGGGACTGAGCGGCGGATCGCTGCGCCAAGCCTGTCGAGAGCGCGGCCTGAGAGCACATCACAGTCGGCTTCTCAGCCGCCGGCCCAGCCTGCCGCGGAAAGTCACAACATATCACATCCGCGCGAGGCCGGATCACAAATCACGCCGCCACCGGAGCTTTGAGGCATTCATAACGGGCCAGTGACGTCATTAATTTCGCCACTGGTCGGTCAGTTGTCAGCGCTGAGCACAAGAGGAACGTCCCAGCGCTGCGACAGATGAGGTTAGTACTCCACCGCACCCCAGAGCAAAAGTGCGCCGTCCGCGGGCCGACCTAGGGAAATCCTGTCCCCAGATGTCATCCAGTGCGTCAGCAATGCTGCGGGGATGTTGGACGGCACCTGGTCAAGGTGTAACAGCCCACAGGTCGCGCCGCTCTGCTGTGAGAGACATGCTGTATCCGGGAGATATTCAGGGAAACGCGAGCCCCAGAGCAGCGCCTTGGGATTTTGAGTTAAGGTATTGGCACTGTAAAACTGCTCGAATAATTAAACTGTTCGAACATAAAAACAACGCTTGTGTTAATAGTGTATTGGTGCCGATGGACGATGCCCGCGGTCACAAAAAGAGAAAAATGACAGGATAAGATTTGAAAATAATTTTTTTTTTTCAAATATGACCCGACAGCACCACAAGCCTTTCATTTCTTCATCAGCTATTAACCAGCCACCTAGCCGTTCGAAAGCCCTAAAAGTCGTGTCACCTCTCACACCACCTGGGTGGCCTCGTAAAACCGCGCCCCTCTCTCACAGGTAACGAATGTTGGTCGCGAGTGTCACACGCGGGTTAGCTGTGACATCCCCAGCCCAGGTGGTCCTCGTGCCCCGCGACCTGTTGGTTCGGGTGACCTCAATTGGTCGCGACTTTTGCCCCGTGACCCCTGGGTTACTGTCGTCTCAACATTACGAACTTTGACTTATTGGTTCAGACAAAACACGCGACCCTTGAACTCAAAGAGGACCTCAGAAGCCATAGTATGTCATCTGATGCTTTAAAGTTCAGACATCCAAATAGTATCCACCTGTCGACAAAGATCACCCCAATGACCCAAATCCCTTATCACTTGGTTGATGGATATCCCGCTGGCCCCAGGCTCTCTATAAGTGACCAATAAGACCCCAGCGACCCGGTGCTCTGACCTGTTGGTTCGGATGACCTTGGGCGCGCAGAAGTAGCCATAGTAGGGCCTTTCCATTCCCATGTTGTCCTGTACGCACTTGTCAAACACCGACTGCGTGTTGCGGCACCTGGCAAGACAATAAGCAAATGTTAGGGTCAAAGTAGAGCTTAAAGGTGAAACATAAATAAGGCAAAGAGGGTGACGTCAAGCTCGAGGCGGAGACATAACAAGACAGGGTCACGGCGGAAGAGGGACGTAACATCAAATTACACATACGGTAGAGACAGCGAAAGGTGGCGGTAGACACGTCATATTATACAGCAGCGAGACGAAATGCAGACGCAGCACTAAAATAGCGAAGAGCTGTCATAAGTGATGGAAGCCGAACGAGGGTTCCAGTGTGCTTGACGATGAGGGGCACAGAGAAGAGAAATGAAATAGGAATATCAGGAGGGAAGAATCTGTCTTCAACACCTGCAAGCATTGACCAAGTGCATGTCTGTTCTCCGGCTTTCTTGTGAACATGACAAGTGAAAACGACATATCGGTCAATCCTGTATTTTCATCCAGCGTTGCGTAAGATGACTTAAACGTGATAAGTAGAGCGAGAAAAAGACTAAGCTATTGCAATGACCTAGAGGCGTGGCATATGATGTCTCTATGATGTCTCGCGGGGTGCGATGTCCAATGGACCCTCTACCGGCCGGGTCCGCGGCAGCAGCGAGCGGTCGCCTAATCCGCTGCTGGCGCGGACCCCACCGGTATTTCTGGACAACATTCCGCTACTGTGACCGCAAATCGGCACAGAGTGACGACACTCGCGCGTCATCAGTTTGCCAACCAACGCTGGCGCCCATAGCCCAGTTGACATTGGCGGCTTCAAAGACGTCATATCCGCACGAGACGGCCAGTGACCAGAGGCCGCCCGACAACGGAGAACCAGCTGATTTTCGAAATGCTCGTCGGGGCCGTAAAAGTGTGACGATAAGCGGCGCTCAAAGGCAGCGGACACTGGCATTGATCGTGAGGCCATTAGAGCTCCTGGCTCGGCAAGAGCGGGTCCCTCGGCGCACATGACCGCGCTCAGCGCTCGTCGGGAAAACTACGGTTGAACGCCGCAGCGGCGGCTGCCTAGCCCCGGCAACTCCGCGGTGTGGGCGAGCGGGAGGCGAAGGTCCGGTGGTAAGGAATAGGCGAGAAACAACGGAACACGAAGGTGGCAGAATGCCAATGACGTTTGTGGTTTGTGGCAGCAGAGGAATGACAAATTCTGAGTGTTATGTAACAGCTTCCAAGGTTATTGACAGGCAACACATGACTTTATAAATGCAATAAACGCATGGAAACGTTTACAAATCTAACGGTAATCGTAAAGATGCATGCTATAATTGCCAAACGTCACCAACTTATCCCCAAATGCAAAACTTAAATCATCACCCACACGAACAGTTTTGCTTACGATCGTTTCAACACATGCCCGCTCACGAACTAACCTCACAAATGACATCAATCGCTGATCGGTATGTCCGCCAATTACGATTGAGGCTATCTTCAGACTCACAGCTCTTACTGCGGGGGCGTCTCATCGAGGTCAAATATCACAGAATGGCCTCTCCCTTTGATCAACCTCCACAGTCCACAATCGCCGCCGCTACCATCTCCGCAATCACCAGAACGACGGAACCAGAATCACCAGAACCACCGTCCATCTCTAGGTCCCGTTCGCGGCTTCTCTCGCAGTTCAAAGTGCCGCTCCAATCGCCTTAGCTGTCGCCAAAGGTGCCGACACCGCGCTCGGTCGGGAACGTATTCGTGCCTATGCGATGGCATCAAAGATGAGGCGACCGCTTCTCCCGCTCTAACGAAGTGTCGCACGGGATAAGCATTTCCTTTCCACGAGTTTGCCTTTCTCAGACACAACTACGTGAAGAACTCTGAAAGAGTCCGGCTCAACAGATGAATTATGTACCGAAAGCATGTTGACAAGTTTATCACGGCAACCTGAATGCGTCAACCGGGTCGGTCCGTGATCTGAACATCGGTCAACTATTCAGTGCTCCAGACTCCGGCGAATTTCATCCAGCGCCGACCTTCCAGGCTCATTAGACCCACATCCGTCTGCGAGACCAGCAGCGGCGACCACATACACACGGATTACCCGCCGACCGTGTCGGAGGCCAGCCGTTCGACCGTCATCAGCGGCGTGCGGTTGGTTACATTCTACCGCGCTGTGGAATCACTCTTCGCAGAATTAACACGAGCGGGGACACTGGCTGAGAGGGTATGGCGGCCACCAGCGATTCGGCAGCGGTCGCGGGTTGGCCCACATCCGTGTTAGACTAATCGCGCGCGCCGCAGGACATGGGGAACGTATGTCGGCAGAACGCCTGTCAAAGACTGGGGGGGGGGGGGGGCTGCGCATTGCGCAATGTGGGCACTGTGGTTGAAGACCTGTTCACACCCCTCCCCCTCTCCCTCTCCTCTCCGGCGGGACATCCCACCAGCATGACGATCCGCGCATACCAACAGCGGCGGTTTTCCGACGGCGACGTTTACCGAGACAGACGAGAGAAAAAATGACGTCAGGATTCATACTCCGATGACATCAAAGAGGAATCGCATCAGGCCGCCTTCTTATGGAATGAGAAAAGATGAAAAAGCCTATCGCTGTGAGGATGCTGGCGCGTGATTTGTAAATCTTCCAACAAAAATAATGCAAAGGAATCAGGCGTTATGGTGCATTAAAATGTAAATTCCGAGTTCACGCTTCTAAGCGTAATCTAACTACAATGTAAAGCCACTGGCGTTTCTTTATATTCACAATTTTTATTATTTCCTTTGCTAGAAGCTCATTAAAATCCACATGAAGTAAAAAAGTTGCACTCCAGAGGAAGTTTTAGCAAATGACCAGCGAGGTCATACATCAGCACGTCAGACTCTACGCCCTTGAACTAGTAAGGCTGAAGTGTCGTCGGTATTTCTTGAGCCTTGGTAAGCCCATCATTCATCAGTGGGCCTCGTACTAGCAGAACTACCAATGTCAATAACCAGTGTTCAACAGGACTGCTCTGTTAATACATCTCTGATTCAGCTCTGATTCAATACAAACTGTGCTCTCATTTCTTTTCGGCCGCGCGCGGTCCGCGCAAGCGGACGTGTCGTGCGGTACAGAATACCTTCAGGCGCTTACCACTAGTGCCATCTAGCGGCGGAAGTACAAAACAACACGCATTGCGCGCTAGCCCTGCGTTGTGCCACGGAGTTCAACAACAAAGGTCATTCACATCAAACCACGATCGCATATTTCGGTAGCAAGGCTGATGAAGCAGTGGGCTGCTACCGGCTGAGCGCAGGGCAGGCTGGAGGATTTCCAAATACTCGACTACATTTCGCAAAGTCATTACACAAATCCTCTCCAATCGCCAGGTGGCTGAATGCCTACCGCACACTGGGCACGAGAAACAGAGACTGGGATTAAACGACTTACGCACGATTGTCATTACTTCGGAACAAGAGATCTATTATTGTCCCTGAGCGTCTTCAGTTACCCAAGCTAATCAGCGCTCAATTACTACTATATCTAGTTTGAGGTAATCGGTCCTCGTTTCAAAGCGACTGCTTGTAACATCGAGTTAGCGTCCAGTGCCCATTAACCTAACCTTGGGTTTTAAGCTAAGAATGAGCCTTGTCATGCCAGAATGTCTCTCCAAAGATTCTCCGCGCTAAACCCATCTCTATATTCAAACACGGGTCACTTTTCTGTTGTTGAGCCGCCGTTAGGATCCCGTAAGTCTGATGAATTACTCCCCAGAATGATAACAGGGATGAGCGAGTCTCCTCCCTCGGTGATCGCTTTAGGCGTCTGAGCCGGCGGCGAGCGTCCCACCATTCAAACGGCGCCGCGCCACCCCGCAAAACTTCGCCAGCCATTTCCGGCTCAGACCGTCACCACGGGCGAGATGCCAGCCGTCGCCCGGTATGGATGACGGGACGCCAGCCAAAGCGTCCAGTGAGGCTGATAAGCTGAGAAGACAACCACTGCTTGCCGTGGCTTCTGAGCTGACACACCAGGCCACCAATTAACTGAAACGCCATCGACCTCCCATGTGTGAATGCCATTCGTTGGCACAGGCAGAGCGCCTCGGGCGAAGGTTGACTCAAGTCGGCACCACTCATTTCAGTGAAATGTTCGGCGCACAAATGAACACGGTAAGAAAGTGAGTACCTCCGAGGGGGAGGGTAATTATGCACAGTCAAAACATGGCTAATCATCGGTGCTTGTCTTCAGCTTTGAAGCCGCCCGTTCCAGGGAAAACGACACACTAGACGAGAAAAGAGGATAAATGCAATCCTCTTAGCGCTGTCCTCACTAAAAATACCACGTAGCTTACCAGCCCACGCAGTGTTCTCCTGATACATGGGGCCGTACTAAAACGTGACCGCGTAAATCACTCCTCTCCGTTAGTTAACAGAAACAATCACAGGAGAGACTAACAAAGCTCTCCGTGGCCTGTCAGCCTGACCGACACGTGCCTGAGAGCTCTCCGACCGGCGCCCGGCGGCTGAGCCGAGCCGCCACAGCTCTCTGCGGCACGAGGCGCGGGGAGAGACCGACACGGAGAGGCGGAGAGAGGGACCGATCGCGTGGCGGGCCCCGCCGGGATCCTCGGCGTCGCGTGACACCGCGCAGACAGCACCGGACGCCAGCTTGACGTCAGAGGCCACTGAGACCCCTGCTGGAGAGTCAATCCGATCCGGAGCGCGGCCGGCCGCCGCCTGGGAACCGGAGCGGCCCCCGGCCACCTGGCGGACGGGACACCGGCCCGGCGACCCGCGGAGCTAGAGGGCCGCCGCTCGACGGGACGGGAGGTTACTCTGCTGGAGTCCTCCGAGCGGTCTTTGGTGGTCTGGACTCTGGGGTCTTCTTGGTGGTCTCGGGCCCTATCGGTGCTCGAGAGTTCATCTGATCAGGGTTCACGAATCGCCTGAGTCACCGACGCAGGCGAACCCGCGGAAAAATACAATGGAAACTGTGTCTTATGCAGAATGTATTATGCAGAATGCATAAGCTAAGAATTAACAATCAGTTAAATTTCACCTGATCTATGATATTTTCACTTACTCAGG